CACCTCAACTGCTAGCAGAGCACCTCACCCTCCCTGATTGAACTAACTTCGTTATCTCCATACTGATTTATACCTGCCTCTGGAAATTTCCATTACTTGCGTCTGACGAAGTGGGCATTCACCCACGAAAGCTTATGCTCCAATAATTCTGTTAGTCTTAAAGGTGCCACAGGACCCTCTGATAACGTTGTTGGTACTGTTGTTTTTTTAAAATCTGTATTATCATGAAAGAGAAGTGGAGGTCTTTTCTGATTCTTTCACTTTTAATGAATCTTGATAAATTTGTCATCTGAACAAATTCCTGTTCAATTTGCAGTACTTGAACACCAAAATGTCCATGTGTGTCAGGAAAAATTTTATTGAATCATATGACCTATTAGTTACTTGCAAACATCTAACACATTTTCTCTTTTATTAGCAAACTTTGTCTGCTTCCCACCCACCCCCAGTATCAGTTACTGTTGTTTACACATAAAATAATTAAATCCCTGCTAATGGCAGCTGAGAAGAAAAATCACGATTGTCTGTAAACTTAAATCTCAGAGGATCTGCCTGAGGCTTTAATATAGATAGATATGCCTTAACACCTAAAATACAAAGTTATATAGTGTTTTCACCAAGAATTTAACGATTTGTTAAAATTGGAGTCTGTACAGGTCAAAAAAGACTTAAAGATGCTCAGGGAGGAGGCGGTTCCTCAAAAAAGCAGAAAAGAAGCCACAAAACATCAGTGGTGAACAACAAAAAGAAGAGCAAAACTGGTAAGTATAGCAACTTGGTGCAAAATGAAACCTAGACTTAGAGAACATCTTGTATTTGAATGACAAGTGAAGGAAGTGTTTATATAAAGATAACATTTTAGAAAAATGTGCTAAGTAGAGAATTCATAATAAATGTTAAAATGATGAAGCTGTTTTCGCTGAGTGCAAGCGTATTTAAAATTTCTTGCTATGCTGTTTCTCAGATTGATCCTATAAGGTGCTCAAAGCCTTCAGCTCCCATTGAATTCAGTGGGACTTGTAAGCACGTGGCACTTTACAGAGCCTGTTTTTATCAAAGAGGAAAGGAAAGAAAATATTTTGGGGTGTGGAAATACATACATTTTAAGGAGGGGAATAGGAACTCTATGCAAAGTGAACTTACATACTATGCAAGATCAGTTTTCACACAATTTCACATAATTTAGAGGTGGTATTATTATTTGCACAGTACCACCAGTGTAATTACACAGGACCTGTATTCATCCACCTAAACTATTTGCTGCATATTGGAACACTTCACAAGTACATCTGACTTTTAAAGTAAACCAAATAAAAAATGAAGAGGTAACATCAGGATGTCCTCATAAGTAGATGTTAATTAATGAATATGTAGATCATTTTCCTGCCTGCACTATGAAACTAGACATTTGCTCTGCATTATCCTCTAATGGAGGCTACATCTTTACTGAATGTACTCTAAAGTATTTAGTTTGTGATGTTACCTGAACAATTCTGAGGTGAAATTCACTCTTCCCTACACAAGTCCCAAGTAGTCAGTTTTTGTGCAGGACTTTCAGTGGCAGAAGTTTGACTTTTATTTTTTCACACATAACCCACTACCTACCCATTTACTTACCTTAAGGGCAGGTCATGTGTAACCTTGTGTAATTTAAAAATAACAAATAAAGCCAAACTGAATTCTTTACGGTTTGAGCCTGAAGGGCGGTTACAGATAATTTAATTTAGTGGAGGACTGTGAATGATTCAGTAAGTGATAAAATTAAAAACTTTATTTAATATAAAATATTTAAGCAAACAGGCATTACAACAGGGGTGGGCAAACTACGGCCCGCGGGCCGGATCTGGACCATCAGGGCTTTGGATCCAGCCCGCAGGATTGCCACCCCTGTGGCGCCACTCCTAGAAGCAGCCGGCACCACGTCCCTGCGGCTCCGGGGGAAGGGGAGCAGAGGGCTCTGTGCGCTGCCCTTACCTGCAGGCACCGCCCCCCACAGCTACCATTGTCCGGGAATGGGGAACCGCAGCCAATGGGAGCTTCAGAGAAGGTACCCACAGGCGAGGGCAGCACACGGAGCCCTCTGCTCCCCCTCCCCCAGGGGCCACAGGGACGGGGTGCTGGCTGCTTCCGGGAGCGGCACGGGGCCAGGGCAGGCAGGCAGGGAGCGAGCCTGCCCTGGCGTGCGCCGCTGCCACCTTGGAGCCGCTCCAGGTAAGCGGCGCCGGGCCAGAGCCCGCACCCTGAACTCCTCCTATATCCCACACTCCCTGCCCTGAGCCCCCTGCTGCACCCCCCATCCCAACCCCCTGCTGCACCCCCCACCCCAATCCCCTGCTGCACCCCCTACCCCAACCCCCTGCCCTGAGCCCCTTTCCGCACTCCGCATCCCCTCCTGCATCCCAACCCCCTGCCCTGAGTCCCCTCGTACACCCCGCCCCTCTCCTCTGCCCCAACCCCTTGCCCTGAGCCCCTTCCTGCACACTGCACCCACTCCCTCCTGCACCCCAAACCCCTGCCCCAGCCCTACATTCAGGGCCCTGCATGCAATTTCCTCTCCAGATGTGGCCCTCGGGCCAAAAAGTTTGCCCAGCCCTGCATTACAATATAATCTATACTGCATTTATACTCACATTCGAAGAGGAAACAATGCATTATGGGGTGCTCAATACCTAAATGACAAGAATGGGCATAATCCTTTCTCTAACGGTACCTTGGTGGTGGATGCGTTTACCTAATCTAAAATTAACGTGCTACCCTTTTTATAATCAATTATAATAATGCTCCTTAATTAATTAACATTAAATTTACTTTTTTACCATAATTAATATCTGCATAAATGCCATAGCAATATCTATTAATATAAATAGCATTTTCCAAAACATTAACACTATTTAAAACACTTGTAGAAACCAGCTAGGACCAAACATATTTGCAATATGACCTGGGGTTGTGTCCTAACTTATCTTCAGCTTGCTTCTAAATTGTCTTGATTCATTTTATTCATATTTTACCAGGCCTCGCTTGACTATTTTCAAACCTAGATTTTGGGCCTACTTACAAATCAATATTTCTATATAAAAATAAGCAAGCACCACCTGTATAGGCAACACATGGGGTTGCAATTCAAATCCTACTGCCCACTCTGTACCTCCCTCTCTTCACCGGGGATGCATTTTACCCTTTCTATATTGAAAAAGAGGTATAACCCCTTTTCTGATATTTGGAACCAGCACTTGAGGAGTTAGTGATTTGATTAATAAAATAAACCTATATTGTGTATTTTTGTGTTTCTTCAGCAAACAGCAGTGATAGTGAAGAACTTTCTGCTGGTGAAAGTATGACCAAGTCTCAGCCAGCAAAATCAGTTTCCACTGGAATGAAGTCTCACCATACCAAATCACCTGCAAGAACACAATCTCCAGGAAAATGTGGGAAAAACGGAGAGAAGGAATCTGATCTCAAGGAACAGAATAATCGTTTGCCTAAAGTTTATAAATGGAGTTTTCAAATGTGTAAGTGCCTTTTTTTAAACTAGATCTAGTTTGTTCCTGAAGTAAGAAATAGTAAATAAAATACTAAAGTATTTTCTTTCAGAATTACTTTCAGTCCTAACGTTACTGAATTTAGTTATCTTTCTCTAAGATTAACTTTTAATTCTTTTTGGGTGAAACTTACTGTGATCAAAATGCAGAAAGCCCACCCCTGTGCACTTCCTTATATACCACTTATTTTTTTACACAT